GTGCCCCTGGGCATGTTCAGGTAGACAGCACCCTTGTGTCAAATGCCCCCAGAGACTATATTACGAAGCTATAATTGGCCATCTTTCTCTCCCCATCTCTTACCTGCAGTCATTTCTCTAAGTAACACCTTCTCACAGCCCCTTGACACTCTGTTTAAAATCTGCTATAATCCACACAGAACTCCAGGTTGCCATGGGTAACCAGAGTCTAAGCTTGTGCCAACCCTAAATTTAATTTTACACACAATTTCAAGGCAGTGGGGAACTGTGCTAAAGGTTACTTCTGGCCAGGGCTGACTCTTAGCCAGTCCTCACATAGGTAATGCTCTGTGCTAGGTGTCCCCTTCCCGTGTCCCCAGATGCCCACCTGCTCAACACCCTGGCTCTTCCCCTGGGGCTTCACCTTTCAGGAGCCCAGAGGTACAGTCTGGCTAGGGCGCTCCCGGCCCTGCTCCTGCATGCACCAGCATCCTTTGCTATTGGTCAGTAACCTTGGTAATCCAGCTGTACCATACAGTAGCCCCCACCCCTACTCATGTTCAAGTTATTTGTAGTCAACTGTGATCCAAAAATACAGTACAGTAAATAACATGTGTTGAGAGAGAGACCACATTCCCATAACTTTTATAGTGAGGTGTTATAATTGTCCCATCTTATTATTACTTATTTTGGCCAACCTACTAACCATGTCTAATATTTACCTTAAGATTTACCATGATGTGCATATACAGGAACATGTCATAGACAGCATTCAGTACTGTCCAAGGTTTCAGGGTCCACTGGGGTCTTGGAAAGTATCCTCTGGAGCTGCCAGGGGACCTCTGTAATTTCTGGGCTGCAGACTATTCTTTCCCTCTCTTGCAACTGGCTGGCAGACTAGGCCCCTCTTTTTCCCCAAGCTCAAAGGCTTTTTTTGAGGTGCAGGATGGGCTCTGGGTTCAGGTTGCCCAAGGCCAGCTGGGTGGGGTGTAGAGAGCTACTTTGGGCTGAACTCCCAGCATGTGCCAGGTGTGTGTGTGTGCAGTACACCAAGTAAATCATCTCTCTTCCACCACACATTGCTATTAGCTAAACACATAAAACCAGCCTTGACTGGCTTAGGTAGCGTGTCCACAGCCAGGAGGCCAGCACGCAGCCCTGGAAGCCAGAGCCATCTCTCCCTAAGGCTTCCGTCCTGTGTGCTTTGCTCTGTTTACATTTATTAATGTATAAAAATGACCAAGTTATGTTTCAAAAGTAAAATGCTGGTCCTTTTACATTTTGAGTCTATTTGTTTTTGTTTGGGTGTGTGGGTTTCATTTAATTAATTCCACATTGCCTTACCAATTTGGAACAATCTGTCCCCAGGGAACAGATCTGGTTTACTTATAGAAAAAAATGAGCAGAGGGAGTGACTGGGGTTACAAAGTATTTCTTGTAGGAACTAATCTAAAAACCTTCCCAGTTCTCTTTGGTCCAAACAGAAGCAAATAGAACATTCCAGAAAATCCCATCTTCCCAGCGTGGTTGTGCTAGTGCTCAGAAACAGAACTTCCTTTCCTGTGTTACCCGCCATGCCTGCAAGATGGGACGTGTGACAGTGAGCACCACCGATATCCCTCTTGCTTCCAGAAACTTCTCTAGAAGTTCATACAAGAATGAAGCAGTCCCCACTCAAAAGAATGAAGACTTTAGAACTCCTTGGGGAGCCTACTAGCTAGACCAGCTACTAAGAAGGCAGGAAGAGGGTTGGTAATTTGAGGGAGGTCTTAAATTTAGGTCCCCTCCTGAATCTGGGGTGTAGAAGAGCTGCCACACCCACACATGGCTATGAATTTTTTGGATCTTTCCTCAGGGATGAACATTCCAAGTTGACCCTAAACTAATTTTTGAAATAAGCCAACTGTGACCTCATCTTCGGCACTTTGCACCTGCTCCTCCCACTCTCTACACATGCAACTCTCAGAACTACAGTGCTCTGAAACTGACAAAGGAGCTTGTCTCAGGGAGAAAACAGTCTGAAGATTGAACTGACACAAGCCGAACAAGATCACGGGATCATCTGTGTGTTTCCTGAAACTGAAGTAGCAAAGTAGCACAAGCTGAGTGACGTAAGCAGCAAATTTGCTGTCCCAGAATTCCAAAGACCAGAAGTTTGAGAGCAAGGTGTGAGCAGGGCCATGCCTCCTGCTGCTGGAGAAGGGTCTGCTCCAGGTCCCTCTCCCCTGGGTTCCAGTAGTTCTTAGGCTTATAGTGAGAACTATAACTCCCATCTTTTCCTGGCATTTGCCTGTGTGTCTGTGGCCATATTTGCCTTTTATGAGGATGCCAATCATTTTGCGTTAGGGGCCCACTCCGCTCCAGGATGACTTCATCTTGACTAATTACATCTACTCCCTTATTTCCTGATAAGGTCACATTCTGAGGTATCTGGGTGTAGGGTTTCAACATGAACTGTGAGGAACACAATGCAATCCATAACATCATCTATGATAGTTTGGAATTCAAAATCAGACCCAAGAGCTGGAGCAGATCAAATTGGCCAAAAACCATCTCATATTGTGTATGATTCATTCTGTTGCCAGGGTGGGCAAGAGGTTGGCATGCTGACCCCTCAAGTCTGCTGCTTACAAATAAGTGTAAATAAGCAACCACCGAGTGAAGGGGCTGTTGCATGAGGAGCAGAGAGGTTCCCTGGGGTCTGCACAAAATCTTAATTCTTTCTCAGTACTTTTTAGGGCAAAATCTACATAGGTAGGTACGAAATTATTGCTAGTTATAATGAACTAAGAAGTATCATTAAAGAACATTCAAAAAATGGCATCTGTACTGAATGTAGACAGACTTTATTCTTGGCATTGTTTCCTAAATGATAGTATAAGAACTGCATATGTAACAGTTCCAGTGTATCAGGTGCTGTAAACAATGATTTATAGCATACAGAAAGATGGGCAAATATTATGTCACTTTATGCAAAGGGAATTGAGCATTTGTGGATTTTGGCATCACTAAGGGTCTTGGAAGCAGTCTCCTTGGATACCTGAATCTCAGCATACTGCTAGCCCTAAAGTGCTGCCAGGATACAAGTTTGCCAAAAGGAGTTCGCTGTGGTTTTCATGTGGTTTGTTGCCCAAAGGTTCATGTGGCAATGCTGGGAAGTGGTGTGGATTGTTTAGAGGTGGGGCCTGCAGGAGGTCCTTAGATCAATTGGGGACATGCCCTCAGAAAGGTCTGGGGGACCCTACAGCCCCTCTATGGCTTCCTGTCTTTGACAAGCTTTTCACCTCATACTTGTGCTCCTGTAGGGACACAGCACCAGAGGTTCAACCAAAGGGGCTACCTGATCTTGGATTTTCAGGACTTTCAGGACTAGATAAATTCTTCTTCATGAGCAGACTCCCTTAGGTATTCCATTACAATCACAAAAAATGAATGCATGATTCTATACATAAAAATTGAGTTTCTATTTATAAGATGAAGGGATTATTGTTCCTCATCAGTTTGGATAGACCAGTTATTAGTTTGTGCTAGTCTTTTTCTTCCCTGATGTCTGGGATTATACTGAGGAGGTATTTTGTGCAGTTGTAAACCATCCACAGTGGTTGGAAGTACAAATGGTAGGGCCTGAATCACACCTCGTTCTGCCCCTTACTTAGGTGATCTTGGGCAAATTATGTGTGGCCAAGGTTTTGCAGCAAAGCTGTCCTCTACAGAGATGTGGTAGACGTTAAGTGGGACACTGGTTGGCAGATGTCCACTGTGGTGAACACTGTTCAATAAATGGTTCTTCTTATGATTGTTCAAGGGGTCTAAGAAGTGAACCTTGAAAAATCAAGGGAGTCTCTCCTGACTTGTTAACTCTGTGGCTGTCCTGAGGCAAGGGGAGACGAGGACTCTGGGGGCACAGTGGAAGGTGAATGCAGAGCTGTGGGATATTTATCCCATGCACATTCCAAAGAAAGGGCTCATCCTTGAGCAGTCCTGGGAGTCAACATCTAGCCCTTGGAGTATCCTGCTTGAAGCGTGTGTCTGTGTATCTGAGGGGACTTAAGCTACACTACATATTATGCTACCAGTGTGATTTACGGTGAGGGCTTTGGGTTACATGGTATTAGTTTGACCTCTGGAGGGAATAGAGACTGAGCAACTCAGGTCAGCCATGCGGGTCCTTCATGCCCATATGACCAGTCCCAAGAAGAACCTGACACCAGGACTTGAGTGAGCTTCCTGGTCAGTGATACTCTACATGCTATCACGCGTCGCTCTGGACCCTGCTGTGCACTTTTTACCTTTGCTGATGTCAATCTGTCTCCTTTCTCTGTAATGAACCATAGCTGTCACAACTCTTGGGAATTCTGTGAGTCTATCCAGTGAATCACTGAACCCAAGGGTGGTTTTGGAGATCTCCTGATTCACCTGGGAAATAACCAGACTGTCTAATATTAACCTACTCCTGTGGTTGGTGGCTAAATGAGTAGAAAATAGAACTGTGTTCAACAGCATTCAGTAAACATTCTTGTGAGAGTCAAGCAGATCTGTTAGAATGAGGCTTCTGGACTTGGAGGCTGCTGGGAGCCTGGGGTTGTGGTCCCTAAAGTGATATGGGGCAGACAGGCAGATGGGAACACACCTAGGACCTACCTTTGGTGCTTCACTTTTCCTTTAAGAAGATAAATGCCACCAGCTTCTTATCAGCGGAGGCCGTAACTCTGCAGCTGCAGACCCAGCGTAAGTGGGGCAGGAGGTTGTATGTGCCCTGTGTGTGTAGCTAGCACGCCCCTCACTTACCTAGCCCCAGTGACGTCAACTCCGACCATCAGCTGCCCATTCAAGGAGAGGATCTCGTCCCGCAGCCGGACCTTCCCACTCTTCCCCGCCGGGCTGTTCTTCCTCAGCTCTGTTACCCAGATGCAGCCCACATCGAGCACAGGACCCTGATGGGTTTTCCTTTTCTTGCCCCCTCTGCGTTTTTCACCATAGTCCCCAAAAACAGGGATGTTTCCGAAGCTGAGGCCCACGGTCTCTGTGTCCCCCAGCTGCTTGGTGAGGTACACAGTACAGATCTCCATTTCTGGGGGGCTGTGGTCAGGAGCAACCGGGTTCTCATCCACAGCCAAGTTGAGCTGGATGTACTCCTGCAGCTTCCGGATGGCCGCCTGGCACAGCCGCTGCTCCGGCCCGTCCCCACCCTCCCGCAGGCTGTTCTGCAGCCACTGGCAGAGGAGGGGCAGGTGCAGCCTGGCATTGTCCTGGGTGATGGGCATGGTGCTCACTCCAGGACACCAGCATCATGAGAGGTCCTGCTCCTGGGGGCCAGACCCTGCAGGGCCCTGTGTCCTTTGGGAACCCTGGCTGTCATCAGCTCTGCCTGTGGTCATGTTCAGGCTGGTGGATGAGCCTAGGAATGCCTGCTTGAGTCGGGGGCTGTTTGTCTTGGCAAGACGAGGACACAATTAGAACAACAGTGAGACAATGGCTCAGAATACTCAACAAGAGATGCCAGGAAGCAGCCGACAAGTCCCAGCTTGGTTCATTTCACAGCAAGATCCTGCAAATGACATGGAAATTGGGGATTCTTCTGGCAGTGACAGCTTGGCCTCCCTTGGGCTCATTCACACCTGAGAGAGGAGGAGCAAAAAACAAAAACATCCAGTTATAACAGTGAGCCTCTGGCATAGAATGGATGGTCCTCTAGATCACAGGAGGCCCAGGCTTGCTTTTCAGACACCAGGAGCTCCCTTCTCAGGGCCTCCTCCTTCCCCAGTGTGGCTCCTGCATGCTACACAGACAGACAGACAGACAGACAGACAGACAGACAGACACACACACACACACACACACACACACACACACACACTTCCTTTCCTTATACATAAGTGTTCTCTAGTGAGTTTCACTAAGCAGCACAGAAGTCATTTTTTCTTCCAGGACACTCTTCCCAACATACCCTCAAACTCACCTCCACCCAGGAGGCTGCCTAAATGACCTCTGGGAAAGTTGGGGAGGGACGCAGAATGTCACTTCTACTGAGAACGGATGAACTCATTGGAGGGGAAATCAAAGAAAGTTGGTGGATTCCAGGAGCATATCAATAAATTACCTTAGTAACATAAGCATTTCTTTTGACTGCTAAGGCTGTCAGCTTCGAGTTACTCAAAATTAATTTAAATTATCATGGATGTTTGCTTGAGATAGGAATCTAATTGGAGAATTATATACAGTAGACAACCGGCCTGGCTGACACAGCAAGCTTCTGGGACCACAAGTTCTGCTCACTGATGAAATGGATTAATCTCAGAAGGCAAAGCTTTTAGATCTTTATATGGATCCACCATGGACGGACAGCACTGTCACTATTTGTAACTGCAGATGTCTGGTCTCTTCCTTAAGGGCAGCATTTTCTCCCTGGAATGTTTCTCTTGCTATTGTAGAAGAACCCTACTTTTCACAATACAGGTTGAATGTCCTTTATCTGAAATCCTTGAGACCTGCAGTGTTTTGGATTTCAGATAGTTTTGGATTTGGAAATATTTGCATATATATGGGAATATTTTGAGGATGGAAATTTCTAAACATGAAATTTATTTATGTTTCCTATCTACCTTCTACACACGGCATAAAGAGAACTGTACAATATTTTAAATAATTTTATAGCATGGAATTTTCCACTTCTGGTAGCATGTTAGTGCTCAAAAAATTTCAGATTTTGGATGACTTTGGAATTGAGGTAGGGCATATGCTGATGAATTAGACACTGTCACTGTATTTGATGATATCTCTGTTGAGTCCAAGGACCTGAGAGATCATTCAACTCAACTTTTTAATTTTAAAGATGAGGAGACAGCCGTAGAGGTTGTTAGGTCTGAGAGAAAATGTTTTGATTTATTCATAAGATTTTACTATGTCTGTGTGTGTGTGAAGTTATTTTCAGTGAGAGGTATTACTTATATTTATTTATTTATTTATTTATTTATTTATTATTGCCAGGTATTACTTATTTCGGCGAAAGAGAAATACAGCTCTGCACATATATAGGTTACCTTTTCTTTGATCGCTCTTGTATTTTCTTTTAATAGCTGTGTGATTATGTAAATGATATTTGCTAAGCTTTTGATTTATTTGGAACCAATTAATAGTTGATGGTCAAGTTCTTTGGAAACTCAAAACACTGTTTTGGAAATCTCTTTTTGGTGACGGAGTAATAAAGTCATTTATTATTGACATGGCTTCTGACAGTTCTCCAATTTGTTTTTATTTCATGTTAAATCACTTCCTGGGAAGGCAGGAGAATGTTTTCCATCTTAAATGGCATGGTTTATACTGACTTTCTCAGGAGAAAGTGAAGTTCATGGAAAAGAGTGAAAGGAATTACTTTTCTATGTTTATGGAGAACGGAGGTGAAAAATTTCTTTGATGGAGAAGGTCACTTGGCAATGGGATTCAATGAACCTTTCACTAGGGGACCTATCTGTACCAACAAGGGGCAGAATTCAGATGGGGACTCGGGGTCTATTAAGGGGATACTCCTGCAGCAGCTGGCCATGAGGGCCAGCAGTATCACTATGGTAAGCAAAAGAGAACCCATGACTTTTGTCTCATTGCTAGGACAAGACACCTGAGAACACAAATTAAGCAAGGAAAGGTTTGTTTAGCTCACATCTTGTGGAGGTTTCAGTCTGTATGTGGCTAGCTCAGAGGCAGAGTGGCACATGGAAGAGGGCAGCAGCAGATCATACTGGTGGAAAACAACAAAGCAGCAAGAGCAAAACAGGAGGAGCAGGGGCTGCGGCAGCCGCGGTGGCCAGAGGCACAGAGCAAGGCTCTCTGCCTTCCTTGTGCTGCATCCAGGCTGTCTGCCCCAGGCCAGGTGTAGCACTCACACGAGCAATCCTAGCAGCACTCGAACCCACGACCCAAGCCTTGGATCATGAATTAATCACAAACTCTAGAAGACCACCCCAGTGACTACATGAGGCTTTGGGGGAACACCTAAACACAAACCATAACAACTTCTTATCCAGAAATTTGGAAAAATGTGTCCCTTGGAAGAGAGAGATTTGGGGTTGGTCTAGAAATTGGTTGCTTCTTAATGGTTTCCCAAAGGAGGGAGAAGGGACTAAAAGTTGTGGGATGCCAAAATTCATAATTGCCTTCTGAATCTCTATGACAAAGGCAGAACCAATGGCCAAATGGTGTGAGGAAATGGATTCTTTCAGTGGTGCTGATTGGTTCTTTCTCCTTCAGCAGCATTGCCAAAGGTTGTCTTAAAACGCAGACATCTCCTGTGTGTAAGTTAGGCCAGTAGGCAAATGAACACAGATCTGAACTTCTAGGAAGGCAAGCTCTTAAGTATGTCCAGAGCCCCTTGACAACTTTCCAAGGGCTCTTTTCACATGGCCTCCTTGTTGGAAAGTGAGTTTGATGACATATTGACTGACTGTTTCTGACAGTCTACCCAGCCCCACTGTCCCAGGCCTGCACCCAGTCCTGCTCATAGCCACCAGGGAGCCTCATGTGATAGACATACACATAGCTTGTGCAGAAGCTTATGGCCATCTACCCATGATCCATCCTCTCTTCCCTTATTTGTGGGACCAGCAATGTATTCACCTACAACACAGCCCTTCTTACAGGGACAGGTAGACATAATTCTGACAAAGGGCCAGAAGTAGAAACTGCTCTGTGTGGCTAACACCAACACGCCTCAGACAGGAAAGTGGAAAGAAAATACATCCCATGTTGTTCCATTCACCTTTATGTGGATATTGCAAAATCCAACCAATAAGCTGAATTGAACCTCAAGTAAATAAATAATTTCATATCTGAAAGAGGGAAAAATAAACTTAACAGACCCTGCACAGTGAAACTGGCTGAGAAGAGAGGTTGGGAGGCAGCTGCCAAGCACCTGGGTGTGGCAGCTGGGAAACAGGCGACCCTGGTAATGTAACGTGAAATAACCTGGTCAAACTGCCAATTGCTCTACCTTGAAAAGCTATTTTGTGTTGCTGAGCTTACAGAGTTAGGGGGATTGACAGAAAAAATATTAGATTGCTGGTAAATGCATTGTCTCTTGCAGCAAAAATCTGGACCCCTCAATTCTGTGGGCAATCAGAGATGGATAGACATATTATGACACAGAATAAGTAGAGTATGTTAGCTGCAATGGAGAGACGGGGGGCCAAGCTCACGAGTTAGAAAGTAAAGGCTACAAATCACTAAGAGTTGACCAGAAACACATCCTGGATACTTAGTAATATCTGTGAGGGGATTATATTGTCACAAATGCCCCAAACTTTGGTGACAACTACCTGGTGTGTGTGTGTGGGGGGGGTTCAATTCCTTTAGGGCTCTCAAAACCCTTCTTTTTCCTCCCTTATCCCTGAAATAGGCTTGAAATGTGTTGTCTTCCTAGAAAGAGTCCTCGCCACAGACATGAAAGAGGTGGCCATTGTGGAGCATGAACGAGAAGCAACTTCCCGGAAAGATGCAAGGGTGGCCACAAGCAGGGCTCTTTCCACAGAGCAAAGAGCTGCCACCTCGGCTGGCCCACGGACTCCCACTCTTCTTGTCCAGGAAGATTTGGGCATGCAGAGGAAAGGGATGCTGTGATTTCTCCCTCTCCTTTTACAAATGGAAGTTTTCATTGTAGTTACTTCACCCCTTTCCCAGGATTACGTGACGGGTGTTGCAGGAAGTCTAGAACTGGCGGGGAGGACCACACAGTAGCCATCTGGGGACGATGACGTGCTGAGGCCGGGGCCATCTCTTGGGAGGAGGAGCTCATGCGAGGCATGGAAAGTGAATTATGCCTGAGGAACCCGGGAAGGGGACTGGGGCAGAGCTGACTTGCCTGTGCATTCCTTCTCCCCCTTTCCTAACAGAAGCACACTTGTGTGGAGGAGCAAGCACCCAGCCAGAGAGTTGTTTCTTGCTGCTCCTTCTGAGGAGGTGATCACACTCCATGAAGCTGTTGGTGGAAACTTCCAGAAAAGCTCTTTCACAGGCAGCCGCCCCCCAACTCCCACTGTTGCCTATTTTCTTGCTTAAAATACATGTGATGTGGAGCTTTGGCAACTACTTTGTGACCAATCATAAGGCAAGGGCCTGACAGCTTTTAGTAAGCTCTACCAACCCACACATTCCTTCTGCAGACTTCTTACTCTAAGAGAGAAAAACAAGCCTCTACCTTTTTAAGCCTTGTTAATTAAATATTCTATTATAGCTGGATAAAATGCTTAATTAATATACTGATTCAATTAATTCTTGACTCTCAGGTTCAAGACCCAGAATACAATATACTCCTGACCTGAGTCTTTCGGCTTCAGCCTTGCTACATTGCCCATTAACAGTCATTGAGTTACTACCTTGATATGGAGACACATGCGCGTGTGTACAAATACCTTAAATTAAATTGAATTAAAAATACAAGACAGGTTCTGGGGGACATAACTCACTGGCACAAGCGCCTGCCTGGCAGATGTGAGGTCCGAGTTTGATTCCTGGTATACCACATACACACACACATAAAAGTGCAAGGCATGTTTCTGCCCCTTAGAGAGTTGAAAACACACATAAGTTCTTTCACTGGTTTATTAGCATCATTTTTTTCATTTATGGC